AACAGATACATAGACCAATGGAACAGAATTAAGAATCCAGACATAAATTCATCCACCTGTGAGCAGCTGATATGTGACAAAGGCCCAAAGTCCATTAACTGGGGAAAAGACAGTCTCTTTAACAAACGGTGCTGACATAACTGGATATCCATCTGCAAAAAACTGAAACGACCCATACCTCACACCATGCACAAAAACTAACTCAAAATGGATCACAGACTTAAATATAAAATCGAAAACAATAAAGATCATGGAAGAAAAAATAGGGACAATGCTAGGAGCCCTAATACATGGCATAAACACAGTAGGAACCATAGGTAACAATGCAGAAGCGCCAGAAGAGAGACCAGATAAATGGGAGCTCCTAAAATTCAAACACTTATGCTCATCAAAAGACTTCACCAAAAGAGTCAAAAGACAACCTACAGACTGGGAAATAATTTTTGGCTACTGCAAATCCCATCAGTGTCTAATCTCTAAAATCTACAGGACACTGCAAAAACCTCGACAACAAAAAGACAAATAACCCAATTAAAAAATGGGCAAAGAATATGAACAGGCACTTCGTCAAAGAAGATATTCAAGCAGCTAACAGACACATAAAGAAATGCTCACGATCATTAGCCATTACAGAAATGCAGATCAAAACTACAATGAGATATTATCTCACCCCAATGAGGCTAGCATTAATCCAAAAAACACAAAATAATGAATGCTGGAGAGGTTGTGGAGAGACTGGATAACACTTATACACTGTTGGTGGGAATATAAAATGGTACAGCCACTTTGGAAATCGATTTGGCACTTCCTTAAAAAGCTAGAAATAGAAGTACCATATGATCCAGCTATCCCGCTCCTTGGAATATATCCTAGAGAAGTAACAGTCATCACACGAATAGATATATACACACCCATGTTCACTGCAGCACTGTTGACAATAGTAAAAAGATGGAAATGAACTAGGTGCCTATCATTGGATGAATGGATAAAGAATTTATGGTATATTCACCCAATGGAATACTATGCAATGATAAAGAACAACGATGAAGCTGTGAAACATAACATGGAGGAATCTGGATGTCATTATGCTGAGTGAATTTAATCAGTCGCAGAAGGACAAATATTGTATAAGACCACTATTATAAGAACTCAAAAAAAGGTTTAAACACAGAAGAAAACATTCTTGGATGGTTAGGAGGGTGGGGGAGGGAGGGGGTTATTTACTAATAGATAATAGATAAGAATTATCTTAGGTGAAGGGAAGGACAGCACACACTACAGGGGAAGTCAGCACAACTGGACTAAACCAAAGCTAAGACATTTCCTGAATACAATCAAACACTTTGAGGGACAGAGCAGCAGGGGTAGGGGTCTGGGGACCATGCTTTCAGAGGATATCTAGGTCAATTGGCATAACAAAGCTTATTAAGTAAATGTT